CTGGCAGCTACACCCAGTCCCTCAAAAGCAGCTAGGCAGGCAGCACAATTTTGCTGGATTTTTAAAGCACCCCATTTAAAAACCTCGTTGAACAGTGTGGTCAGTGATCTGCCCCATAAAGCAGGCTTCTTCCCTAAGGAGGGGAAGGAAAAAGCAGCTGGTCTTTTCAGGGAAGCTGGGAGAAAAACAAGAGGAAAAAATGTGAAGCCTCTCTTGAGACTGAAGTTCTCAAATCTTCGGTATAGAGGGAAAGGGAGTCAAAAATCAGGAGACTGGCGTTATTAGGCAGAAAAATAATGTGCCGTGCAGCGCACAAATTCCCACCCTGCTCACAAACACAGAAAGATCGATCCTGGGGCTTCAGAGAGCACCGCTTATTCATTGTTCAGAAACAAGGTGCTTTCAGTCTGACTCCCTTTCAACAAGGGAGAGAAGAGTTCTTCCTTCAGGAAGATCACCCTGAGGAATAGCCATAGAAGACCCATGGAATTCTGTACATTTCAGCTTACATTGCCTACCATCTCTTCCAGGGGTATTTCCTAACAACAAAGCTCGAATCTTTGTGATGGCAGACACAGACAGAAGCCAGTTCTTCCAAGAACAAACCTCAGTGTATCTGAGGGGCCTCAGCCTCCACAATATGTTGCAGTGCCCTATTCCGAGAGCCCTACGCCAAAGGATGAGGAAGGAAGACTAGTATGGGCACAGCCACCCACCACCACATCATTTTGTTATTCACCATTTTGTCTTGGACAGCCCATCCGAAAACAAACTGTGGAGAAATAACCAAGATGTACCCAAAACAATTCTAGGACACCCTGGGAAAGACCTTCCGCTTATGCAAATTGGGCAGGCTCAAATGACTCGATTGGTATGTTAGTCCCAGGCATTTTATTAATGACATTTTGACTTGCGCTGCATTCAGGTCAATCTGACCTCATTGCCATACAACAGGGGAAAATCTGGATTACAGATTCTTTAGTCACAGTATGTACAAAACGTACCACAACTTTTTTGAACAACATTTGCTTACTCTAGAGTAAATCTGTTCTTCCAGTTTCTCTTGGATTAACGCACTTTCCATTAGACTCTTCTTTTGTCGGAGAAAGGCAACCTCGGCTAACTCTGCTTTCTGCTTCTGACAGTCAGGGCACACTGAAGGTTCATGGATTTGAGCTTCTGTCACCTGAAAGATGAGACTGTGATGCAATGAGCAACGTCTGTCCCAGCAAGGTGGCCACTCCACTGAGAGCAATCAATGAAAATACAGAAACTGTCTAAAGACAAAAATCTGGCAGTTGTAAACAATTCCATAACCTTTGTCAAAGTATCGCCCTGATGAGCCTGCCTGAATATTCTCGCACTAAATATATTTGCCTTTGCCCAGGTATTACCCCTTCCAGCACTGATAACGTCGTTTCATTTTCAATTACCTACTTGTATCTCAGAACCATAGCACTGATCTCTAATACACCATTTCTTCTTGTAATAGGCAAAGTTTCCCTGATGCTTGAGGTTGTGTGGATATTACTGACTTCTTCCACAGAAACTATAACAGTCAAAAAAAAAACCCCAAAAAATGAAGCTGTGTGATTGCCAACGAACACATCGGTGACCAAACAAAACCAACTGTGAGGATACAGTCATACTGGCAAAAAAGACTTTTTTTTTTAATTCGTACAACTCATTTGACCCTTGGTGGATGCTCAGCACAAATTACAATTTTGCCAGTGTAAATCTATACACATTTTGCTTGTGTTAAATACATTTAGAGCACCACCAGCCATTAGTCACTCTTGCTTAATGAGTACCTGACATTCCTGGAAGCCAGCTGGTGCACACTAACCAGTCTTCCCCAACAGCAAACACACTAACTCCTGAAGGCTCGACTAAGTTAAATAAACATGTTTTACTCCATGTTTCAAACACTTGATCATCACAACTCAGTAATAGCAATTGTTAATCAGCAATAATTCCACCATACATAACTGCCTGTCTGTAATGAGGCTATAGGAGCAGCAGTGTTCCTATGTTGACAGTATATGTAAGGCCTTAAATACCAACCATAGCGGTTACAATTATATTTACAACTTCTGAGAGGTAAATAAACTCTAAAGCAATGCGTTCAAACATCTATATGCAGCTCGGAGTCAGAACACAAACAAAATTATACATTTTGCTTTACAAAATAAACAGTACTACTCACTAATTCCTATTAGTTTATCCACCATGAAATCTTCAGCATATTTAATAGCATTAGACAACTCCCAGTATTTGTAGATTTATAAAATATCAATAATTTTTTCTGATTTAATTTACACAGATTCCATCTGGTTACACAAATGCAATAAGCTGCCACAAAAGAAGTGGAACGAATCCTAGAAAGTCATGTCTCAAGCCTCTCTTCTTCCTTCATTTCTTCTCCTCTACATAAATATGTTATTAAATGGAACTAAAGACAGAAGCAATCACATAGCAGTCAAAGTTATTTTTCTTAGAAAATGTATTACCACACCATAAGAAAAATAAAAAGGCAGCAAGAACTCTACAAAATTTGGATGTGGGTTGGTCAACATTAACATAATGAAAGAATGCAGATTGCTGAAATTTTGAAACAATTTAAACAAACAGAAAACCTGAAATAATCACCATGTCAGAACTGACTTTTAAAGTATAATTCCCTGCTCACCTGCCACAGGCTCTGCAGAGGAATGTTACTGCTTTCACTACGATATGGGGCAATAAATTAAATCCAGCAAATGCAATAGAGATAAACTACTGTAACTATTATTCAAAGCTCTTTTTTTATCAGAAATAACTTTCCCAGATGCATACATTGTGAACCTATTTCAAACAAAAGTATAGAAATAAAGGAAGTGATGTAACCAGGATTCTGGTGGACATGCTTTAATTCTTAGTACTATCCAAGAAAGCTGGGAGCAGGGGCCAGGTTTTGCCTTTGGAATACTTTTAATACTGGAGTAACAAAGACTCCATAATCAAACAGTACGCAGAATATTTCCACAAATAACAGGTGCAAACGTAACCAGGAAACAAGGCTTTTTTTCTTCAGTTCACCCAGGGCTTCTTATGGACCGCAATAACTGACCATCCCAGCCTCACCCAATCACAAAAGTCACTATTTTATCACCAGACAATATTCCACAATGATTTGATCATTTACTAACAACAGTTCTGCAGCAGTGTATAACTAAAAGATGAGCAAGGTACATCCCGAGACCTCCAGTGAAAACCTCTTTCAGAGGCCTGACGCAGCATCAGCAAGGTCTGCCCGATTTAATTCTCACATCACAGCTTTTTTTCCCAGTGGTTCTCCCAAAAGCATAGGCAAAATCTAAATTTTTTGCTTCCTTGCAGTACCTGTTTAGCAGTCTCTCTGCTGTTCTTCAGGCGGATTCTGTTCATCAGCCGATCAGGAACAATGCAGTTCAAGTCCTCTCTCTCGGGTTTCTTTGCTGTGAATCCATGCTGCAGCTTTCTCGATTTGCCACCATTTGCCTGCTTGGAGATCAGCTGCTGACGCATCTTGCTTATCTTCACGGTGCAAAAAGACTGGAGAGCATCCAGTTCTCCATCTAATAATTCGGTAATATCTGTCAGGTGTAAATCAACAAAACAAAAGCGCCAATTACTGTATCAGGGAACAAGAAGAATTAGTGCTCTGCTATCTGTGCGACCTCACATTATCTGTGTAATAAAAAACCAAACCTAACGTCAAGCCTAGAGGCAATGACTCAAACGACAGCAGCGCAGAATTTAAATAAAAATCTGGATGATAACTGCAGGAACTTGCACACTAAATGTCTCTATGAATAGTCTCCAAAGAGGGGAGGGGATAAGAACCCTAAAGAATTAGGCTACTTAACCATACAGCACAAATATATTAGTAAATTAAGTAACTTAAATGCTATGATATTAAACAAACTGAGTTTCAATGACTGCCTAATACTGATTTAGCTTCTTCCTACCTGGAACCGCAACTTGTTGAAACAAAATGAATTAACACTTACAGAGAACTACTCATCTAGTAACTCTCAGGAGCAATTCATAAGGCACTGAGAAATTAGAGGCAGCGTCTATTGAAGTAACTCTGGAAAACACCTCAAATATATTCTACAACCTATAGTGAGACTTTTTTTTTTTTTTTGAGGAAATGCAATTCTATTAGCAAATACATTCCTCTAAAGCTTCAATGATCATTTCCAAAACCCTTTATGCAACTTTGTTTAAACAATATCACTCTTTCACCTTCTCTTATCACAGAATAGTAGGGGTTGGAAGGGACCTCTGTGGGTCATCTAGTCCAACCCTCCCGCCGAAGCAGGGCCTTCCCAATGGCATGTAATAAATAATATACTTCAGAGAGGCAGGTAAGGATGGATTTACAACTTCACTCTATGCTTAGCGGGAGATTTTCCACAGGCTTAAACACAGCCGATCAATACAGACCAGCTAACATGAGTAATTGTGTAACGATTTCAGTATTTCACAAGCACCAGCATATAACGATGCTGTGTAGTACTACCCAGCCTTAGGAGATACCACTGTCTTCAGCTACTTCAGCAGGGGAGAGAACCGCTCCACCTTTACTACACAGCTCTCGCTTTTATGCGGCTACTGAAGCCCAACTAAACACTTTAATGTGTGTAATTAAGGGAGAAATGAGAAGATGAAACATTACAGTAAGCATTACTAGAAGCCTTGTGAATATATTTGCATAGTGCTAACACTAAGACAGCGTTCCCTCCTCAGGACTCCATTCCGACACCCAAAAAACATCAGACAACTAATAACGACTACGCAGGCAAGCTATGGTCAGTCTGTTTTAACTCAAAGTATTCAGAAACAAATGATATTGCCCATTTAGCTGGGAAGTAGGATTATAGCATTTAAACAATCACTCCATATTGTCTGTTTCACTCATTTTCAGTGACTAAATTCAGTTTTACTTTTTCTAGACAGGCACTGCATATTTCGGGGTGCTTTGTCTGACAACCGGTGCATTGGCATTCCAGCCCTGTGGGGCACTTCGGCATAATCACAACACAAATCCTTAAAGCACTGAAAAATATGAATGTAAAGCTCTGCCTAAATATGCTGCAACGAATTTCGTCTCAAGTACACAAGATACAGGTGTAGAATTTTAAAGGATAAGCAGATCTGTAGTTAAGACTAAGCAAAGCAGGAATTGGTGAGCTTTGCTTTACGGACAACAAGGAAAAGATGTGATTTAAGTGCAAGTACCACTGTTCAGAATCAATCATCATAAAGCAACTTCTTCCTCCTTAGAAGACGATGTATCAAACTGACTAACGACAAAAATATAGTGATACTTTCTAGACAGATGAATAAGAATTAACAATACTTCAAAATGCAAATTAATTCTTCTTGGGTGGGATCATAACCTTTTGAGCGGAAACCACCATTTCAGACATCAGGTCATTTCCTTACAACTGCAATGTAGAAACCCTGTAAAACAGTGTAAATCATGTGCCTCTACTAGGTTTCATTGCACCAATAAAATAGTGGCATATTCATTTATGCTGCACATAGCATGAATAAAAAGATTTAAGTTACTGCTGTGGGGGAGAAAAACAACCCCAGAACAAAGCATTTACTTATACTAAGTTGAGTACCCAAATGCATGAGTGGAACACATAGGGTGGTCTGCTGAGCATTTTGTGACAATTTAATACCAGCCTAATTAATTGACTTCAGTTTCTCCTGACACAAGACTTGTGTGCTGCCACACACCCATCCAATTGCTCATTTACACCTACAGACATTAGAAGAAACACCAGCAAAGAGAACCGCAATTTTTAAACTGGACTGCACAACCACTTTCACAAATTACTTGTTTAATATTAATTCATGTTTAACAGTAAATAAGCTCAGAAATAATAAAAAATATCAAGGATGAAGGACTATACTGAAACAGCAACAAAAAATGATGAGCAGAGTCAACACAGTTAAATTCTGGAAAGTTAGTCTTTTAACTGCACAATGATTATTTACACTTTCAGATTTTCTTCTAGGTGTACGAGGTTCTCCTGTCCCTTACTGAAAGAAGGGAGACGTGCACAAGAGGATCTATGCACCTGCTTTGGCGGTTGGTTTTATTTCTTGTGCCTTTCACATGTTCCCTCCTTTCCATCTTTGAACCAGACATGCTCGAATGCTCAATCTCCATTTGTGGTGGCAGACTTAAATGTCACAGCACAGCTGCCTCCAGAGGATCCCTGCCGGTGCCAATTACTGTTCCAGAACAACGTTTTGCTGATGCTTGGTTGCCCCAAATCCTGCATTCCCACATCCTCTTTGATGGAGAGCACTAAGGCAGCAATGGGTGACAAAGGAGCAAAACCAGACTCCGGAACAGACATGAAGCCAGAGCCATGGCTCACACCGCAGCAAGGTCACAGAGCACAGAGTAATTAGAATGTAAAGCACGACAAACTGGACCAAGAAGCTGCTCTCATTACAGAAGCACTCAGGGTGTACCAACAGAGACCAGCTTATCTCCACGTCCACACCCTAAACCCTGTTATGTGGTTTATAACTGCGACCTACATAGATTCTGCTTTCTGTATGCAACTACATCTTTAAGTATGATATTTTAAATCTGCATGAGCAGAGAAAAGTAAAGAAAGTCTTTACTGAGTTTCCTTTTCCTTTGATGTCTAACTTTGATTTAATAGGAAAATAAGTAACCATTTTGTCATTATTATGCTCCACTAATTCTCTGTTTTAAGAAGAAAAACTGTAAAACAGTTCAAGGAAAGATTACTGTGAAAGGCAGCAACTCATAACTACTCCTCAGAAAGATTTTAACTCTGCATCTCAAGATAACATTTTTCCTAATTATCTAAATTGCATTTGTACAACTGAGTGCAGCAGTTCAGATTAACATGCTGACAGCCTGGTCAACAGTGTTTGAAAGATTAGTGCAGATAACACAGAACTGATATGAGCAGTCTGAAATACCAGGCTCTTTATTACAAATACGAATTTAAAGCAAGTAAAGTTCCTCCAGCGTGGTGAAGGATACCCTCAGTTTCCACCAACAACAGTGAGATAAGACAGCAGTAAGAACCTTGCAGAATCCATGTATTTTGGAAGAAACTCATTCTTTCCCAGCTCCATTAAGGCATTAATGAACTAGACGAGCTTTCTTTACAAGCAGAGGTTTCCAGATGTTGCTGGTTGGAATTTCCCCCATCTAGCCTACACTAATACTCTTTTATTACAGAACCCGAGGAGAACTCTGGAATCTCAGGGCCTAACTAGGTCTGCAGGAATTCCACAACCTGCGCATGTTATCAAGCTTTGGTGCTGAAAATCTGAGGAATAGGAAGGAGAGTCAGTACAGACTCTTGGATGCCTGCGCCCTTCTCCAAACAGCGCAGCAGGATGCTTTCTCAATTCTTATAAATAGACTACTACTCCTCCTAATAAATACTTATAATAAACTACTACTGCTACTTGGTAAGTCAATAATTAAATGCATGGCCATATGCAAATTTGTTCACAAAGTGAATATAAACCAGATTTGCTCAGAAATACTCTGGACAAGCTGGAAAAAAATGTGATGCAGAAAAATAAACACTTCCTGTTCCCTCAGTGCACATATATCTCTGTGCACATGCCTGCGCCTTTCACCTTAACAACCTGAACCACAGCTGTTTATTTGCCTGTGTCTTCACTGGCCTTTTTTACTTTTAGATTTCTCACCACTAACACCACTATCACAACAATAATGGTTAAACTGGTAATATTGACTGAACTGTATTTCAGCCACAAAAACTGCCTGATGCTGCTCAAACGTTCCTATGTCTCTAAATAACACATATTAACAACTAAAGTTCTCTCACTTTTGCCAGCAACAGTGCAGTGGTAATGCCACAGAAAAAGAAAGGAGCAAAAAGCTTAATGCAGACATGTTACAAAGGTGAGAGCAAACTTCTGAATACAACACAAATCAAAGCATTAAAAAGCCCCACTTGACATTTCAGATACATCTAAGTTGAAGAACTGCACTTTCCTGCAGTAAATTTTAAAGATGACTAATGGTCTTTGGAATAATCTATACGGAATTGGGGACTTACCGTGATGCATTCGTCTAATAACAGCTAGTTGCTACAACACTGGGGTAGAGGGCCAGAGAACAGGAAGACAGAAAAACAATTATGACAAAAATTTCTCTCTTCTCTTGAGGCAGCATCAAAGTTTTTCATCTTTCAGCCCACAGAGAAAACTGTGAAAATGGAGAAATACATTCCAAGGAATTTCCTGAGATATTAAAAAGAATTTTTGTTTTACTACCTGAAGACAAATTCAGAAGTACCACACATGCTCAGTGTGTACATCAGTGATTCTGCTGAATTTACTGATTGTGTAGCACTCTAGTTCTAGGCGTGCTCATCTTCTACTGTATTTTAAAAAAAGATCTTCAAGTCACTAAAATCATTAAGAGGCTTGGGGGCTACCAAATACTGAATTACTAAGTCAAAGAGAAGCAGGCATTATAGATGTCAGTACACATAAGTTGCTGTGCTTATTTTGTGTGTATATGTTAAATATTCTGAAATAAAAAAATGTAGTACACGGCCAAGTATGATTGACGCTGAGGAATCTGGGGATACCTTGTCAATCACGTGACAGCGTACTGTGTTTGCATGAAAGAAGCGTAAGCATGAACCTCATTTTGTGTCTTCACACTGACAGTGGTTGGAAGCCCTGTAACAAGGTACCTGAAACGTGCTTAGCTGCTAAGCTGACAAGCGATAGGACAGGCGGACAGAAGACAATCCACCACTTCATGCATCAGCGCAACCTCATGAAACAGAACCTGCTACTCCAGACTGAGTGACCACTCTGACTCTCCTTGACCATCAAAGTGCGTAAACCAACGGCAGAACGTTCCCTCACGCAGAACTACGAAAACCTGAAATTAAGAGGATAAAACCTTCTCAAGTGTCACTTCCAAGGGAAAGCACTGTAGAGATGAAAAGCTTCCTCAACCTTATACTGTTGTTTATCATTCATTCAATGAATCTGAACTCATCAGGCCCTTCCCAATCTCTCTGTGAATCAAACGATCACAAGATTCTGATGTCTTTTAGGGAGACTATCTCAGAGGAGCTCGCCAGAAGAAGCCTCTCTACTACAGATGAGATGATCTATATTAACTGTATTCTCACTGACTATATGGCAGCCTTGGAAAACCAGTAATAGAAAGGTAACAGCTGAAGATGAGTCAGGAACTCACAACACTGACTCACCACTGCTGTGAATGAGCTATACAATTAAGAATAGCCTACAAATGATCTTAGGTCACCTTTTCCTATAAGACATGGACGGTTTGAGGATGCTTGTACGCAATGCAATGCTTTGAAGTACCTAGGCAGGAGGATCTCCCTGGTTAATCAGTCTTACAGGTGACCTGCAGAACTTCTGAGTTTGTTCACTTCTCGTGTACATACAGTCTGGGAAGTTTCCCATTTTGCTTCAATTATTTTTTGCTCAACTACAGCTTTCTTGGTCTTTTTTTTTTAATTAAAGATAGTATCTCTGACCCACTTTTTAGAAAGACTTAAGCAGGACTTGCATCCCACCATCTGCTCTCACAGTTGCTTGCATAACCAGTACACTCAAACGGCATCCTTCCTCCCTTCCCCATACACCACATCGCTGTGTTGGCTGAAGCTGCTCCGTTGTTCCTGCCCAAAACTGGCGCCCTGCTGCCTCCCTCAGCTTGGGAAAGGAACGAAAACACGGAAAACACAGCAAACAAGTAGTTCTTGAATTAACACTACTGATTAACAAGGGGAAAAACATTTCGCACAATAAGTTCTGAAGTCATGTTTACTTTGGAGGGAAAAAACTCACACTCCTAGTACAGCTAGAGAGCAAAAGAGAAAAACTAAACAGCCCAGTAAAACAGTTAAATTTAAAATGTGGATACATTTTTTTTAATGTATTTATTCAGCTCTTGTGATACTGCATGACTATGACAATGTCACTACGTCAGGAGCATCAAAGTCATGTGTGTTATGGGAGACAAACTGCTTTCCGAGAAAGCATAGAAGAGAAATTTCATACTTAATTACCTGGCTAATTAAGCCAGGATAAGTACCTGGCTTAACTTTAATAGCTTGTACATAAAAATTAAGTCTAGTTAAAAAGTTTACATCCCCTTTCAAAAGAAACAAGAATTATAACCTCTACTAAAGTCACTGAACTCACCAGCACGAGTTTTGATGACGGATTTGTCCTGCTTAATGCCAGCTGCTTTGTTTTTCAGATCAATCCGTTTTCCCGTGACATCTCTTTCTACAGCTGCAGAATTCGCTACATCAGACTGCTCGCCTACAATGAAAAAAAACAAGGTAGCTTTGAGCATACATCGTAAAGAAAGCGGGACTACAGAAAAACAAAGTGGGAGGCAAATAGTCCTCCACTTGAACGTGATAGCTTTCCCTGTTGAGGGAAAAGAAACCCCAAGCCATAGGACTACACAGACGGTATCAGTGATCTCAGGGTGAAAAGCTGAGCCAGCTTCTGTCCCACAAAGTGTCTCACATTGCTCATTTCTAATCACCCCGCTGAATGATAATATAGGATACACTGAGAAAAACAGAGACTACTGCTCAGCGCTTGTTGACACATTCAATTCTATCTGTAATGCTAACTTCACCTCCATCGACCCCCTCTCTCATTCAGCCCCATCACTTATTTCCAGCCACGAACAGGCTCTTCACTGGCGGCAGTATAGATGCAAGAGCAAAATAATGTGGGACAGGGGAAATACAAATATCTGTATCAGTTCCCCGTTCCCCAGCTTGTTCCAACGCAACTCCAGCTCTGCAGAAACTGAGCAAAGATGTGAAAGGGAATAGCTGGGAAATGACAAAAGGCTTAAGAGGCCTAAAAAGACACCGCCACTGACAGCAAGATGCATACGGCATGGTCCTGTTCCAAAATACTGAGCACACTCAGGAAGCGTCTGACTCCTCTACCCTGCTTTCAGTGTACTAACAGCAAATTCTGTGGGCTTATACAAGGAAATAATGTGTCCCTACAGGGACACCAGCATGACAGGTTTTCTGTAGCTTCTATTATTTAAACAAGCTGTTCTTGGTAAGATATATACCACAGAAAGCAATCGCTTTCCCAAGATATTTTTCTATGAATTATTCCCTAGTTTCTCATTTAACTGGTAGTATTCGGAAGACTCCATAATCTTATGAAACATCAACCTTGGGAAGATAAAAAGTGGTAACACTTCTTAAAAAAAGTCTACGCACACAGCAAGGATTCCTCCTAACATGTACTCCTTGATGCCAGAAATAACAATTTCAATGGTTAGACATGAAATAATTTAAAAAAACCTTTGTTATACCTCCAGAAAATAAAGGTTTATTAAAACCTACCATTTGTAAGAAACAAAAATTTTAAGCAAAACTGTTAAATTGATCAGACACTGTTCAATCATATCAATGTAGCATGAACTGACACCAAGGCAAGGATCATCTCTTCATTCAGATTTTTGAAGCACTGGTATCTAATGCCATATTCTGTACTACAACAAACTAGGTTTACATTCATGTATATGTATCAGTCAGCAAATTTTGTCCTGCATTGTTGGGATTTCATGCCTACACAGTATTTTAAAATTATAATGATAATGGTGATCATTATTACTGCAGAGTGGAAAAAAAAAAAAAAAACCACAGTAAAATGTTGCATGGATGAGGGACAGGAGGAACATCTCTACTGGACTCCGTCACAGCAGGAAAAGAAACAGGTTGCCAATTTTGAAGTACAGACAAGGTTAATTATATACTGACATACGCCAGCTGACCAAGTTGAAGTGAGTGGAATGAGACTACAAGAGTAGCAGCTGATAGCCATTAAAACATATCTTAAGTCTACACCACTTTTAAAAATATATTAAAAGTGTCATAGGTAATCCTTAAACCTATAATGTTTATATAAGCTGATGAGCTCCCAAACAGAAAAGAGATTTAACAAAAAATATTCACCTCAAGTATTCACAATACTTACCAGACTAAACTTGGAGAAAAAGAGAATGTAGAAGAATGAGAGAACCCCACAGAGACAGAAGAAAATCTAACAAGACATTAAGGCAGCTAGCTTACGTCCTGCTGCCTGCTTCTTTGTCACTCACCTGATACAGCTTTAAGGTACTCTCTAGCCCTCTTAAATATTTCAGGTCCTGGAACCTTCCCTGTGCCATTCGAAAAACTATTTTACAGCCCAGCTACTTTTCAAACATGGTAACTCAGTCTAGACATCTTACAGAATTTTTTTAACATGCCAAGAGAATTTCACCCTTCGCAAGGAAGGATTTCCACGGCCAAACGACACCCTTCTGCGCGTAGCTGTCAGCAATTCCCGAGAGCACAGAACACAGATCCAGGCAGCACACAGAGCTTCTGTTGCTTTGCACAGCATGAACACCGTACGCAATGTTTACTTTCTCATTTTTGCTGATTCAGGTCTCCACTGCACTGATTTAAAGCTGTGAAAGACAGGTCTCCAGCACGGTAAGCTCTACATACCTGCATGGTTTTGCCCTGCCAACCACGACATGCTTGCCAACGTATCTGACACAGCAGACCTCTTGAAATCCTCTGTGGAACACACGATATGGATAGTTCGCTCTCTCACTGCCGGCAGGCTGCTTCCTCCTCACCGAAGGGCTCAAAGGTATCTGCTGCAGAGTTCAAACCAGAGCTACTCCAACTCGGGCTCAATTCTGTTCACCACTCTTCATAGTCACCAGAGCCATCATCTGAGGCAGTTATCACAGCACTGCAAATAAAAACAAAAGCACATAACAGGCTCAATTACACAGGAAAAGTGACTGGATTACTTATAGCAATGGGGGCCATATGGAGGACTACCACAGCTCAGCACACACCCAATTTAGCTACCACCACAGGTGGATGAAATAACCATAGCACACCGATCAAGGCAACACCCTGCAAAGTGTTTCTGCTGCTCAAAGTAGTGCATCATTAAGATCTGCTGGGTAAGCACACAATAACAATTATCACTGAACATTAGCAATGAATTCTGAGCAGCATTCCTTTCAAATTTGTGGTGAATTACAGTAACACTTGGATAAAATCGTTCATGAAAAAAATAATCTCCTCAGATTTTGTCTAGAAAATTAAAAAGAAAACATAGCAAGCACCAGCCAGCCAGCTGATGCTCTCAGATGATGAATCATGCTCCCAATGAGAAATAAAGTTCTCCAGATTCAAGCTCCAAAACAAAACAGACCTCGGATAGTTACCCATCATGTAACAGACATATTTTAAAGCTTTGTTCTTACTTATTTCACCCTTTTTTATTAGAATGATGCAATCCCCCTCCTCCCTTTGAATTTAAGGGCCTAAATAACTTCATCCCGAATAATTTTTCCCCAATTTCCTCCCTACTCTCATAAAGTAAGGAGAGTAAATGCATGGACAACACCCCTCTGGAAAGATGCTTGCAGCAGTCACAGTCACAGCTCCTGCACTGCAAAGCTGGGAACCCCAGCGTGGTAACGGCAGGTAGACATTCTGTCATGCCTGAAATTTGGGTATGCCACTCTATTTGGTGTTTGTTACTGGAGTTCAGGCAACTTCATTCTAAAGGTGCTGACTTTGCCTGTTTCCCTACTGAATATGCTATGCTGCCCGTTTCACATGCCACGTCACTGCCAAAGTCTTTCTGCACACTGAGTAAAGACCCTCTGCCCCTAAAACAACTTATTTCCCAAGGCTACACTTCCAAAACTCATCCGTAGAGCCAAATATCTAGGTCCAAAAGTTTTCTTTTTGCTTTAACATGGTCCCAAAAATCAAAAGAATTGTTGTGACCTAAACTTTAAATATTAATAAACGCTAAGTAATTCTTTTCTTCATTACCCCACCAGTGATTCAGGCTGGAGATTGGTTATTAAGATCAGGTCTACCAGAGAAAAACAATAGGACATGCAAACAGAGAATCAGTTTGTCCTCCAGCCCATGGTCGACCCAAGCGGTTGCAGCTGCACAAGCAGCACGTGGATGGTTAAGGAGTGAGCAGATGAATTTTAGCAAGCAACAGAATCACAGAATCACAGACTGGTCGGGGTTGGAAGGGACCTCTGTGGGTCAGCCGAACGTCGGCAGCAACGCAGCTCCGTCCTCTCAGTGGGCAAAACCACGCCGGCGACACACCACGCTCACCAAAAAGCTCCATTTCCACCAAGAAACAGCTGCGTGAGAAACCCTTCTCCACACGCTTTCTAGTTAAAACCCAGAGGCAACAGAGGCGGGGGGGGGGGGGGTGTCTGTGGTTTGTTGTGGTGTTTCTTCTTTGATTTCACAATCCTGCCTTTCCAGGCTGAAAACGTGAGTTTTTCAAAACTATTTCATTAATATTTTAATCGACAAAGTCTCTTTTAGAAAAGCCTAAGGTGAAGCGGCTGCCCCGGCTGTCTCTACCCACGCTGGGCCTGTCTGCCGCCTCAGCAGCTCCATGCCGGGGACAACACCACCCCC